TTGAGTATCTAGTGTCCTACTTTTCCAGTTATTCCCATTTTTGTGAGCTATCACCCCATGGATGGATGATGTGGGGGACTGGATAGATGGATGGATGATGTGGGGGACTGGATGGATGGATGATGAGGGGGACTGAATGGATGGATGGTGAGGGGGGACTGGATGGATGGATGATGAGGGGGACTGAATGGATGGATGGTGAGGGGGACTGAATGGATGGATGGTGAGGGGGGACTGGATGAATGGATGGATGGTGAGGGGGGACTGGATGAATGGATGGATGGTGAGGGGGGGGGACTGGATGGATAGTGAGGGGGGATTGGAGGGCTAGATGGATGGATGATGTGGGGGACTGGATGTATGGATGGATAGTGGGGGGGGACTGGATGGCTGGATGATGAGGGGGACTGGATGGATGGTGGGGTGATCCCCGCTATCCCCATACCCCCCCATCACAATACTTTTCTCCCAGCTATCCTCGTACCCCTATCCTGCCACTGGACTCCTTGCTATACCCATACACCCATCCCGCCACTGGACTCCCCGCTATCCTCATAACCTCATCCCGCCACTGGACTTCCCGCTACCTTCATCCCCCGCACCACACCCTCCCTGCTACCCCCCATTCCGCTACCAGACCCCTCCCCACTACCTCCATCCCCCCCACACCGGACCCCCCTCCACAGCTGTACCCTCCCAGACACATCTGGAAGGTATTACTACTATCGTGCACCATTCACGTTACAGTGGAACCTCTATTAACGAGTGGCTCTATTAACGAGTTTTTCCAGTAACGAGCAAGCCACTCGCAGCAAATTTGTCTCTATTGACGAGCTCGCCTCTATTAACGAGTGAAACCACATGGCGCTTCCTAGCGTCTCGCGGGTTCTCGCAAATTCTCGGACGCCTCCAACGCCAGTGTTGTTGTTGTATCTCACACGACAAGCATCCCTCTGGATTTATTTGAGCTTTTCTTTGAGTTTTTAGTGGTTTTGCGACTACAATTTGTAACACACGATGTCTCCAAAGAAGCTGCTTGCTAAAGATAGTGTTGTCAAGAGGAAGAAAGACACACTTACTGTGGATTTAAAGAAGGAAATTATAGCAAAGCATGAGTGTGGTGTCTGTGTGATTGATCTCACAAGGAAGTATGGCAGGTCCTCATCAACAATTTACACCATTAGTAAGGGAATGAGGAGGTAAGGGAGGATGCTGCCTCTTCCACTGAGATCAGGGAAGTGTTTGGAATGTTTGAAAAGGTGAACACATTCTTGGAAAAGCTGCCCTGATAAAGCAGTGACATCCCGGTGTGTGAAAATGTTTAATTAATTTATCACTTTGTGATAACACTTTATGAAAGTGTTATCACTTTCGCAGGTATATGTCGCTTGAACGTAACACACTTTTTTTCTATTGAATGCACCCAAACACCGCGCTCAAGCGTCATTTGAGCAAATATTTCTATAAAATCCAATTCTTATCCGATCGACTTGGGGATTGTATACATGTTTGCCATGAAATTTCCGTTTTCTTTAATAACCACATTGCCTATTTGAGAAAACGGCATTGTATTGTATCTTCGTGGGAAGACTATTATATTGTTGACACAACGAGTGTAATCAACGTAGTTTTTTATTTGGTGCTGGTCTAACGCATCCTTGTGTGACATTTGAAATGAAATTTGGGTGAAATTCCCAAGAAGAGAGAGTCCGCCTGACTCAGAGGTGGATTCTCCTTCCACACCATAACCCCTCTCCTCCTTCCCACCTCTCCATCATCTCCCTCAAGCCAGCAACTACTCTTCATAAGGTAAAGTAAATATTAAAACACTACAACAAAACATTTATATTTACATGTGCAGTATTATATTTACATAAAAAAAGTCATACAAGTATGGATGTTTTTGGGAGTGGAACGGATTAAATTTATTTCCTTTATTTTAAATGGGGAAATTTGTTTCCAAAGACGAGTTTTCCAGGTAACGAGCTCGGTGCCAGAACGGATTAAACTCGTTAATAGAGGTTCCACTGTATTTATAACATCAGGCAGTGAGGACCTCTCTGGGGTGCACTCCCTGGCACTTTTGCCTGCATACCACTAGGATTTCCTTTTCTTACTAAGACTCTGTCTAAAGACACTTGTTTTTTCCCTACATTTTAACACTTGTCTGTAGTAAGGCATCACATTGTCATTTAAAAGGTCAATGCAACTGCCTGCTACAGCTTTATCTGGGTGAGTTTTTTCAACAAAACTTTGCAGTTCTTCCCATACTTCACACATTTTCTTAATGAGGAAGGGACATCCTCCACTGCCTCTACTCACACTATTTTCTTAGGTTGAACCTTACCACTGGCTTTCTTGGGACCCATGGCGAGATATATAGCAACTACTTTTATGCTCAAATGTTAAAAAATCCGACAAAAAACTGTAAATCCTTGTGAAGAATTCAGGCAGGATAGTCACTGGGCGTGAAGCACTCGTAAACTGAGGTGCGATCGCCATGCCACCACGCACTAGGTCTGCTCGTATCCCTATGCAAATTTTCCGACCAAATCGGGAACGTAACCCGAAAAACTTGTGAACTGGGTTACAAGGACGCTTGTAACCCAGGGTTTCACTGTATACGCTGGTCCGGCCAAATATCCGGTAGTCTGGCTTCTATGGACATTCTGTCTGGAGAGGGATACAACTTTATTCTCCCACAATTTTTGCCGGATTAGGGCTTTTTGGGATCGGCGGGCTTCCGATTAGCGAGCGTCTACAGTATCATTATTGGTATAGCATCTCTAGTCTGAAAGGCTCGTTATCCAACCTGTCATTTTTCTTGCAGTTGTGATGGCTACTTTATGGTTGCTGAGAAATCCCGGGCGGGACTGAAATAGTTGGGCACATTTCCTTTCACCTAATGCCTCTGTTCACCTAGCAGTAAGTAGGTATTCAGGAGTCAGCATCTTGTGGGGTTGCATCCTTGGCAGGGTTTAGTAATTTGTCCTGGGGAGAGGGGCGGGACCGCGATATAAGCCTTATGTGTATGAACACACTCGGGCTTCCTGTCCCCCAACACAATGAATTATAAATGTACAGGATATGAATAGTGTAACAATTATTTTGCCGAAGTAGTTAATCTCTATAACAGATCCTTAGAGTATTTGGGTAAGTGGATAACACCACTATAAGAGGTTTCTTGTTTGAAGCAGATGACCTTGAGTGAAATACAAAATTGGGATGAAGTGGAGCCTTGCGTCAAATGTTAACCAAACCACACACTAGAAAGTGAAGGGACGACGACGTTTCGGTCCGTCCTAAACCATTCTCAAGTCGATTGTCTTGTCGAGTGTGAATGTGATTGTCGATTGACAATCGACTTGGTGAGAATGGTCCAGGGCGGACCGAAACGTCGTCGTCCCTTCACTTTCTAGTGTGTGGTTTGGTCAACATATTTCAGCCACGTTATTGTGACTCCTCGTCTCCACTTGCATCAAATATTTGAAAGATAACGGGGTAGCAGTTGATGATGTGAAGTGTTTTGATCAAATTTGTAACTGGAAGAAGTTTTTAGAAAATTACAAGTGATGAAGAATTGAGTAAATTGCCAGTACATAAAAAACAGACCAGACACTTTGAAAAATCAAAGTAAATTTAATGCCACTGAGAACTGCTAAGCATTGCACAATTTTTATTTGCAGTGGCATCCCACAATGTATATATAGAGTGAGTTTTTTCACTAATGCAAAGTCAGTGGACTAAGGAAATGAACAAATGTTGATAAACTATGTGTATTCTGACAGTACAGTACAACCTCCCAGATACATATCGCAGTGACTTCTTCACCTTTTTAAAGTCCAATAAAGCACTGCTGAAAGAGTCAGATCTACAGAAAAATATTCGCACATCAAGTCAGAGAAAGAGTGGGAGAAGAAGATTGTAACCAAGAGTTCCAGATGATCAGCCTCATGTAAAGTGTGGAGGGAGCCACATTCAAAGTGCCCACCCGAGGGAGTGTTTCATACTTTACGTGAAGCTGCGTCCTGATTAGTGAGCAGCTGCACACACCTCGGGCACAGAGAAGACAACCACACCTGCAGAGCACACACATGTAACTCCACCCGCTTGATCTTGGGTGACCTTCCACACATTGGCTGTACATCGCGACTTTGCCTCTCGTCTACCCACAAAACCTGGACTTGCTTCTGCTTCCACCAATGAAGGCTCGAGATGCCAGGTGAGCCTCTCTCACTTGTACGTATTCTTCGTCACTCTGACCGCCATATGGGTTATTACATCAAGAAAAAGTAAATTTTGTTGCACTTGAATTTTTTTCTAAATAATTCTGTACTATGTTTTCTATTATAATATAATTATTTTCTATTATTTTTCTATAATTTTCTATTATAATTTCTATTATAAAAAGTAATGATATTAAAAACTAAAGGTTGTGGTACGGTTATCTTGAGGTTATCTTGAGATGATTTCGGGGCTTTTTTAGTGTCCCCGCGGCCCGGTCCTCGACCAGGCCTCCACCCCTAGGAAGCAGCCCGTGACAGCTGACTAACTCCCAGGCACATATTTATTGCTAGGTAACAGGGGCATTCAGGGTGAAAGAAACTTTGCCCATTTGTTTCTGCCTCGTGCGGGAATCGAACCCGCGCCACAGAATTACGAGTCCTGCGCGCTATCCACCAGGCTACGAGGCCCCCTCAATAGTGCAACAATACATATATAACACCAAAGGGCCAAAGTGTGTGTGTTGGGCAAAGGCAGAGAGACCTGTAATGTCTCTCTCCACACATGGCAACCCTACTCCAAACGGTCACCCATCCAGTACTGGCCTCAACCTGACTGATACATCACCCACTGATGCAGAGGGAGTTAGGCCCGTGGTTAAGTACTGGAAGCAGGTGCCCGTGATGAGTGTGTGAGGTAAACTTGGAGGGGAGTGTACACAGAGACTCACGGCCTGCCAACACACACCCGGGCTTCACCTCCCAATATTTACTCACATTTCCTCAACTTGGAGTCCACCTCACGGTGTTCTATCAGCCTCCGACGGTAGTCTGAGAGACATTGGTCCCGCTCCGCAGTCATGTTTGTTGTGATCTGACTGGTGCCGCCCCGCCGACCCTCGACTTCCTACACCTTTCAAACATTTTCTTATCTCTCGCTTTGTTTTATGTACTTTACTCATCATATATTAAATAAAAATATATTATGCATACTCGATAACAGAATCTGATTATATAGTTATTATATTTTTAATGATAAACAAAGTCAATGAAATATTAAAAGACTTGAAGAGCTAGATGCGGCAATGACTAACCATCCTGTGAGATGGGAATATTTTTACATGAACTTAAAGCTATTTTTTGATCCACACTGTGCAATCTTTCATATAGAATAGACTAGCAGCACATTGCTGTGTATACCTAAGCTTGTTAATACAAACAATGGAAATATTAATAATAATAATAATAATAATAATAATAATAATAATAATAATAATAATAATAATAATAATAATAATAATAATAATAATAATAATAATAATAATAATAATAATAATAATAATAATAATAATAATAATAATAATAATAATAATAATAATAATAATAATTTACATGTATTTACCTGAATTTATCTGAGAGGGGTCACTAACACTCTAGTGGGGTTGACAAGAAGAGGAAGCCGGCCGCTTGTCAAAGGTCCCCATCATTTGCTCTCATGATTTTCTCAAGCTGGATTTTAGTTGTTAAAACCAATATCAATATAATCGAGCTGGATTTTAATTGTTAAAGACCAATATTAAATCTACCTATATTATACAAATATTTGATTTTTTTTATAAACAGCTCTACAACCTCGTAAAATTCAACATATTAAGTCCCTGTCAATTTGGTTTCCGCTTCCAAAAGAGTACCAACGATGCAATTATTAGTCTGCTTGATATAATTTACACAGCCTTTGACAAAAATGAGTTCCAAATTGGACTCTTCACTGACCTGAGAAAGGCCTTTGATACTGTTAACCATAACAACCTCTTATCTATTTGATATTCCAAGAGTACGACTTAATCAAACTAGAAATGCTTTACAAATCAAGGGACCCAGAATGTGGAATGACTTTCCCAATTATGTTAAAGACTGTACCTCTCTCAACCAGTTTAAGATAAAAACTAAGTACTACCTAATTCACTCCATGTAACCTGCCTCACCCCCTAAATGTCAACCCATGTTTATTTATTTATTTATTTATTTATTTACAAGAAGGTACATTGAGTTTGTGAGAATACATAGCATAGTATTTACAATCTTGTAAAGCCACTAGTACGCGCAGCGTTTCGGGCAGGTCCTTAATCTAACAGATAATTTTAAGTAGGTAAATTCTAGCAGAATTAATAAAATGATAACAGATACATTGCAAGAAAAAAATGAGATGAGATAGATTAGTAAGTATAGTAAAGCACATTGGTATATTAAAGCTCTGATTGATTACATTGACAACTTGATTGGTAATTTAAACAAGATTAATAGACACCATACAGCAGATTGATAGCACATATAAGAAGACAGCAATGATCACAATGGTAAACAGTCTCACATGGTTACAGTCTCCGTGGTGTAGTGGTAAGACACTCGCCAGGCGTTCCGCGAGCGCTATGTCATGGGTTCGTATCCTGGCCGGGGAGGATTTACTGGGCACAATTCCTTAACTGTAGCCTCTGTTTAACGCAACAGTAAAATGTGTACTTGGATGAAAAAACGATTCTTCGCGGCAGGGGATCGTATTCCAGGGACCTGCCCGAAACGCTATGCGTACTAGTGGCTGTACAAGAATGTAACAACTCTTGTATATATCTCAAAAAAAAAAAAAAAAAAAAATATGTTCAGATTGGGTACATAAGGATTGGAGATTGGGTAGCACTAGATACAGTGTAATTTTAAAGCAACAAGGTAAAAAACTATGGATATGAAATTAGGTACTTTTTAGTTTTGTTTTTGAATGACACAAAAGTTAGACAGCTTTTCAATTCATTAGGGAGTGAGTTCCATAACTGGGTCCCTTTATTTGCATAGAGTGTTTACACAGATTAAGTTTGACTCTGGGGATATCAAAGATATATTTATTTCTGGTGTGGTGATAATGGGTCCTATTACGTCTGTCCAGGGAGAGTTTCAGAGCAGGATTTGCATTTAAGAACAGGGTTTTGTAAATGTAGTTGACCAAGAGAATTTGTGGCGTGAGATTATGTTTAGCATGTTTAGGGAGTTAAACAAGGGGGCTGAGTGTTGTCTGAAAGCAGAATTTGTTATTATTCTGATAGCAGATTTTTGCTGGGTGATGATGGACTTAAGGTGGTTTGCAGTGGTAGACCCCCATGCACATATACCATAATTAAGATAGGGATAGATTAGTGCTAATATAGTGAGAGGAGAGCAGAGTTAGGTACATAATATCTGATTTTGGAGAGTATACCAACTGTTTTAGAGACTTTCTTTCTTTTCTTTCATAGTGTTGTATGTGGGTGCTGAAGTTGAGTTCTTGTCTACGAATAGGCCAAGAAACTTTCCATCATTTTTATTGCTAATGTTTACATTATCTATCTGAATCTGAATTGCATTTGTAGATTTGCTTCCAAATAAGATGTAATAGATCTTTTCTATTTCATCCATAAGTGGACCTTTTTTTAATTCATTATTAACAACATTATTTAGTGTATGTGGGTTGGGGTTAGAGAGCAAACAAAATAGGTTTCAGAATGTTAGAGACATTAGGCAGATCATTGATGTATATAAGAAATAGAAGAGGTCCCAAGATGCTGCCCTGTGGCACTCCAACGGTTATTGGTAGAGTGGGAGAGGTTATATTATTGCTATACATTGGTGTCTAAGAACAGTATCAAAGGCCTTTCTCAGGTCAATGAAAAGTCCAATCGGAAACTTATTTTTGTCAAGGGCTGAGTAAATTATATCAAGGAGACTAATAATTGCATCGTTGGTACTCTTTTGGGAGCGGAAGCCAAAGTGACAGGGGCTAAGAATGTCGAATTTTACGAGATAGGAGTAGAGCTGTTTGTAGATAATTTTTTCAAATATTTTTGATAGTATGGGTAGGTTTGATATTGGTCTATAATTGTTTATGTCTGCCGGATTACCTCCTTTATGAACTGGCGTTACTCTTGCTTTTTTAAGGGTATCAGGGAAGGTATGACACTCAAGGAATTTGTTGAACAGCAGAGCTATAGGTGGTGCAAGGGCATGGGAGGCGCTCTTGTATACAATGGATGGGATTTCACTAATGTTCCCAGCTTTGGTTTTTAGTGAGTGTATGATGGACACATCATCTGTCGGGCTGACTGGTGAAAGGAGAAGAGAGTTTGGATAGCTGCCTGAGAGATATGTGTTGATATGTGTCTGAGTCTGTGGGATTTTACTGGCAAGGTTAGCACCAACCGATGAAAAGAAGCTATTAAATTCATTTGCCATTTCTAAATCAGTTGACGGTGTAAAGCCATCCTTAGAGAGTGTTATCTGGTTGTGGGAGTGTTGTTTAGTTCCTACCATATTATAGATGGTTTTCCATGTGCTTTTCATGTTGCCTTTTGCTTCTTTGAATCAATTCAATTCAATTTCTTTCTTTATTATGCACCCCATGCCCATCCCGTGGGCGGTGGTGTAAAGGATTACAGAGGCACATAATCGGTTCAGGAACTGAACCCTCTAGTTCGTTTAGCTAAGCAAATAAAAAGTTTTGACGCTAGTTACAAAATTATTATTGTTATATATACATGTACACATTCTCTCATATATTATTAAATATGACCGATATGTCCTATGTCCTATGCTTACAAAACAAGTCACAACCAAAAGGCTTAACAATCCCTGGCTTACAAAGGGAATACTTAAATCTATTAATAAAAAACATGACCTTGAGAAGAAGTATAGGTTAGGAATTGTCTCCAAAGAATTCTCAAAGAATTACTCATTATTGCTGTCTAAGATAATTAGACGAGCCAAAACTAAATACTACGAAGATAAATTTACCCAAATAAAGAGCAACATTAAACAAACTTGGAGAACAATTTCTCAAATATTGGGATCAAAGAAGTCTTTAAATAACAAACCGACTCTCCTGTCTAATAACGATGGTCAGCTTTCAGCCTCTGATTCTGCTATTGAGTTTAATAGGTTCTTCTCTTCCATTGGTTCATCCCTTGCAAATGATATTCCATCTTCCAGTACAGACATTAATGACTATCTTTCAGGTAACTATCCACAGTCTCTGTACCTAAAGCCTATTAATTCCACTGACGTCAATGAGATAATCCTTTCCCTTAAAACCAAGTCTGGTGCCCTTGAGGAGATACCAACTTTAATTTTCAAAAAACCCTCCAGATCTTTAGCCCCTGCTATTGTTTTGCTCTTCAACAAGTCACTTGAACTCCAAACCTTCCCAGATATTCTAAAAAAAGCGAGAGTAACGCCTGTCCACAAATGTGGTAATCTCACAGATGTTAACAACTACAGACCTATATCTATCCTGCCAAACTTGTCAAAAATTGTTGAAAAACTAATCTATAAGCAGCTTTACTCATATCTAGCCAAACTCAATATACTTAGCCCTTGCCAATATGGCTTCAGACCCAAAAAAAGCACTAACGATGCACTTATTAGTATGCTTAACTCGATTCATACAGCTCTTGATAAAAATGAGTTCCCTGTTGGGTTGTTTGTGGACCTGCGTAAAGCTTTTGATACTGTCAACCACCAAAACCTTCTTCTTAAATTACATCATTATGGAGTCAGAGGACACTCCCTACAATACCTCAAATCCTACCTTACTGACAGGCTCCAATATGTTTCTGTGAATAATACAATTTCTCCCACCCTACCCATCAACATTGGTGTTCCCCAGGGCAGCATACTTGGCCCTCTCCTCTTTCTCATCTACATTAATGACCTTCCAAATGCCTCCCAACACCTCAAACCAATTCTATTTGCTGACGATACAACCTTCATTTACTCCAGTCCTGATCCCCTTGCTCTAAATGCCACAGTAAATACTGAGCTAAATAAAGTCCATCTGTGGCTAACTGCCAACAAACTCACCCTTAACATTGACAAAACCTTCTATATTCTGTTTGGCAATAAATCCTCT